CAAGTTTAAGCATGGACCAGTTTAGTTTAATCCACTGAATATTTAACCACAACACTATTTTGGGTTAATCTTAATTAGAAGGTAATTAGGTTTCTTTTTCTCCGCCTCTCCATTATCCCACTAACCAAACACTATTTAACTTCTCATAACTACTCAACCACTTCCATTTAATTCTATTTAAACCCAACTAAAATTCTTTTACCCATTTTTTCATTTATCCTCTCCTTTACAGTTATTTGAAATACTCTATACCTTTTACTCTGACTCAAGAAAATAGAAAACCCTTTGTCTTCTCTATTTTTCTTTTCCATGGTTTCTTGAGTTTTCTTTAATGTTGTTGTTGTGGAATTTGAAGAAAACCCATTTTAACAATCATTACTTCTTGAGTATTCTTTAATGTTGTTGTTGTTGTGGAATTTGAAGAAATATCTCCAAACACCGATTCTGGTTTTAGAATGGGTTCATATTTATCGATGGTCAGTGTAAGGGATATGAGGAGTTAGTCTCGTTAAGCATTGAGCAACACAGTTGGAAAACTTTCTTTCTTCATACCAGTAATTTTCTATGAGCGGTCGTGCAAGCATTTTATGTACACATCATTCGTTTGACAATCTGTTCATTTGTGTCTGAGGGAAGTCCATTTCCATTTCCAATATTGGAATACACATTCTAGAATATGCAATGCATTCTAGAACATGCACTGCTAATGTGTGCATTGAGTGTGGTGTGAGTTGGTGTGAGTTGTTATGATTGTTTTGGATTCTGTTATGACTGTTGTTATAGGAAGTTAAGAGATTGAGTAAGCTTGAAGTCATAGCTGCTATATAAGCTGGTTATGATGTAGTTGCATGAGAAGTATAATAATATATCAGATTTTAGTCATTGATGGCCCCTTTCTCACACCCAACTTGTTTTGACCAATGTGGAGGATGAGCGCACTCTTTTTGTTAACAACATCACAGTGAAGGTTTTAGCACAGGTATTGTGAGACTTATGTACTGTAGGTACCCATTGGAATGTATCTATGCAAGATTGCTACATAGTGGATCAAGCATCATTGGCACCACCAGTCTGTAATGTTTGGTATTATTTCTTAATAAGTCGGTCGATGCCCTCTACACATAACATTATTGTTTCAAAGGCTTGCATGTTGTTGCTACAATTAACAATAAGAGCATGAAAATCAATGCGAGCAAAATAATCTTCAATGAATTCCACCATTGTGCAACCAAAAATACAAATAGTTTAAATTTTCCTTCGTTAATTTCTGATCTATATCGAGGACAAAGTGTGACTTTGTAGCCAAATGATGATATCACACCCAATCGAGGAGTTTGATGCTATGATAATTCTACAGCAATCACACAAGTATACTTATCGTATTCAAATAGTAAAGTAGATGCACTAGGTGCATCGGATGTCGAACCCACATGGAGTAAATGTTAAACTAGAATTGTTGTTGCAAATATAAAAGAGGTGTATTATTGTTGAAATGAGAAGGTAAACAAAAACATAGCAAAACGATGAAATTAGAATGATAAATGGCAGGCAGTGTAGTAGCACTCAATTGAGCAAATAGACTGATTGGGCCAATAATTATTGTTGTCATTTGGTAGATGTCAGTATGATATTGTTGTAACAATACAGTTATGCATCTTGGAATGATTAACACCATAATCCCCTCTCAAGAATTAAACACTTAACAAAATAGAATTAATTATCATCAAAACCATTGATAAAGAAGTTAACATAGAAAAAACAAACGATATCATATATCACCATATGATTAAGCTTACTTCCATAAATATCGATGCTATAACTAAAGTATCATATAATCTCAACAATTTTCATCTCAAAAAATAATTAAGATTAACATACATAAAGATGAATACATCTCTAAAAAACATCCAATAAAAATTAAACACATAAAAATAGTGTTTAAGCAAAAACCATAAGTAAGCATTTCATCAAACACTTTATTTCAAATCCAAATAACATCATAAAAATAAATTATCCAAACTAAATAAACTATATTCCCTCACTCAAGCAAAGAAACCAAAATAAAGCTTAAACCCCAATCGATCACCGCTATTACACGACTACTCTATTGCTGTAATGTTACAACATTGCTCCTAACATCTAGTTCCTTGGTATCATCTAGTTCCTCCAATATTACAGCATCGCTCGCGACAACATCAATGATGTGGAAATCACCCAGTATTCCTTCACAACAATATCAATAACATCAATTGAATTACACTTAGCATTATCATTCTCGCTTGGAGTATTATTCAAAACATTGAAAGTAATGTGTTCATCATTTAAGCAAAGTTCTCTGTAATATCCCAAATATCAGACCAGGGAATTTATCGAAAAGTTTTGAAAATTTAAGATTAAATTAAATAAGTGGTAAAAGATGAGAAAAAGGATTTGGAATAGTGTTTAGACTAATTTGTATCAATAGAGAAGTTAAGAGGGCACTTTGGTCTTTTAAGAGGAAAATGAATTTAAAAATAGATAGAGATTTTAAATAGGAAGAAAGAGGAAAGTAAAGCAATTCTACACTTCTTCTTCTTCTTCTTCAAGTTGGTGTGCTCTCCTTTCTAGAATAAGGTAAATTCACATAGCTAGTGTTTCCTTTAAATTATGGGTTGGTTTTGTAACATTAAGTGATATATATGTATAAGGAAGGCTTAGATGGGATTAAAATGAGGAGATAAAGGGAAATAATGGGGATTTTATAAAATGGGTTTGAAATGATATGTTAAAATATGAGTGTTTATTGATGTTTATTTGTATATTTGACTTGTTAAAGAGCTAAATGAGAGATTAGAAACATTTGATGAGTTTAATAACAAGATAGAACTTTTGGAGTGATTCTTAGAATCAAATGATCTTGAGGGATACTAGATGTTTTAAGTATCTAAATGAGGGAAAGTTAGTATGTATAAGTAATGAAGAGTTTGGTAGCATTATGGGAGGTAATCCTAATGAAATTGGACCTCATTTGTGTAATAATCGGGTTAAAAATTGGAAAATCTGGGCACGAGTATCGGTATTGATAGAACAATATCGATACTATAAACTAAAATGTGATAAATCAGCTGCGTAGTTTTAATACTGATTCAATTAGTATCGATATTTAAGGGAGAGTATTGATACCGAAGAGAAAGTATCGATACCATTTTAAAACAGAATGCAAAAATGGTATCGATACCATGTGAAGGTATCAGTACCATAGCATGGTAGTATCGATACCATGGACCCAGAAATTTTATGAAAGGCTAAGATTGTTGTGGAAAAGTTAATAATAGATATTTTTTATTAATGTTTAAGTATGACGGTTAGGAAATATACTAATAATTGATATTATACATATATTTAATGAATATGGAATAGATCGAAATCAAGCTCCCGAGTCTAGTAAAGTAAAAGGCAAAGGCCAAGTTTCGGAGTAATCATCTTTATATTTCGGATATCTAAGCAAGGCAAGCCAGGTGAGTGCATTTATTGTATGCAATCTATTTAAGGACAATATGCAATAAATACAATTAGAATGTTTAAATTTTAAAGTATGTTTTACTGTAGTTACAAGTTTTATTTAATGTATGGAAAGAATATTATGAATGAGTTTTAGAGTATGAACTGCTCTAGAACGAATTATCAAAATAATAATGCATAGGGGTGCATTATTGGCATGAAAGGATGCCTTAGCTTAAATGCATATGGGTGCATTATTGGCATAAAAGAATAGCGCATATAGGTGTATTATTGGCATGAAAGGATGCCTTAGCTGAAATGCATATGGGTGCATTATCGACATAAAAGAATAATGCATATGGGTGCATTATTGGCATGAAAGGATGCCAAAGTTGAAATGCATATGGGTGCATTATCAACATAAAAGTATGTTATAATTGAAAATGCAGAATGGTGCATAATAAACATGAATGGACGTTGTTAATGAAAATAAGGAAAAATGACCAATGATTATGACAATTTCGAATGGAATATAGTTTAACTAAAAAGGATTAGATAATCCTTAAAGAATATAAAATTCGATGTGAATTGAATAATATGACATACTTATATATACATAAAGGTTTCTTTACAATATTGTCTCACTAAGTAAATACTTAACATGTGTTGCTTTCATGCGTATATAAAAGCGGAGACTAATCCAGTAAGGAGTGCAGCCGTATCAGAAGATATCATCCATTAAGGTTGACTCACCAGTAACATTAGGACAATAGTAATTATTTTGGAACTTTATTTGGCATGTAATTTAAATTTACCAAAATATTTTGTAATATAACTTAATGAGTACTACTTATTATGTTAATTTATGTGGAATTAAGTTTGCAACAAAATTTAAATTTTTTTTCAAAATGAGTATACAATTTTTAAAGTGATGTGACATTTGTATTTGTATACGGAAATGTATATGGGATATGGGTGTTACATTCTCCCTTTTTAACATCAATCAAGGCTCAGCCAGTAGCAAGGAAATGTCGACTAAGTATAATTGGGATATCCTTGTTGATTTCACAATCCAATATAATGAAATATGTGGGAAAGATGAACTTTTCCACTCACACTAGCATGTTCTCAACTATGACATTATGATGTACAATATATCAATCATCAAGTTGTAAGGTTAATGCTAACTCCTAAAGCACATAATGTTATGCCTACAAATTGACTACTAATAATGCAAGGAATAGTAAAACTCAATGGATCTTTAAGTTTAGATGGCAAATGACTTGTAGCTATAGCACTACATCCCTCGATGAGTGAAACAGTCTCAAATTCCCCAAGTATTCTTTTCTTTGAAATAATTTTCTTAATGAACCTTATATAATTCAGATTTTGCTCCAAAGAATCAATCAGGAGAATATTGATTGTCAATTCCTTAAGCACATCAGTAATACTTTGAATTGTTGGTCCCCGTCTTCATGTTGAGGTCATTATAAAACATCTCAATTTGTGACCAATACTGAAATTTGTGCATTGGACACTTTTGCAACAACTCCTTAAATCGCTCCCAAGCTTCATACAAATTATCCCCCTTCATTTTCTTAAAGGAGGTAATGTCATTTCTCAGCCTTACATTCATGTTAGGAGGGTTGAATCACAGATAAAACTTTTGATTCAGCTCGTTCCATGTTGCTATAGCACCATGTGGTAGCAAATTGAGCCATGCTTTAGCTTTGTCGTGCAGAGAATAAAGAAATAATTTCAGCTTCAAGACCTCCTTTGGCACTTCTTTTTGAACAAATAAGTCGCACACCTCCATGAATGCTCGTAAATGTGCTCTAGGATCCTCGGTGTGCATCCCAATATATTTTCCCATTGATTGCAGTATTTGGAACATTATTGGTTTTAACTCAAAATGGGTAGCATAGATAATAGGTCTCACAATTCTAGGATTCAAATCATCCAAAATAGGTACGACATGCTCTCTAATGGGCCTAATAAAATCACCAGTGTTGTAGAAATCTGGTGGCATTGGAGCATTTCTCATAGGCGAATTTAATCCTTTATATACACCATAATTCGGTGGATTGCCATCAACATCAATCTGTAGTGGTGGCAGAGCATTGTACTCGGCATCTCTTTCCATGATTCTATGATTTTTTTTGTCTTTGTTATCTTCTTTGGCGAAACGTTATCTCAATTTTAGTATCAAAAGGTTTTAAGTCTTGGTCGTTGTTGCGTTTCATACACCAGTAACATTTTGCTAAAAAAAAGTACCTAACAAAGAAAATAAACAAAATTAGTGAAAATAAAAGAAAAATAACTCTAATGGAATACCATTGCTCCCCGGAAACGGTGCTACAAACTTGATGCTACAGCAATTACACAAGTATATATATATCGTATTTAAGTAGTAAAGTGGATGCACTAGGTGCATCAGATGTTGAACCCACAAGGAGCAAATGTTAAACTAGAATTTTTGTTCCAAACATAAAAGAGGTGTATTTTTGTTGAAAGAGAAGGTAATTAAGAAGATAGCAAAATGTTAAATCAGAATGATAAATGGCAAGCAGTCTAAAAACATTTAGTAGAGCAAACAGACCAATGGACCAATAATGTTGCTATCATTTAGTAGTTGTGAGCATGATATTGTTGTGACAATACAGTTATCAGTCTTGCAATGATTAACAACTTAATCCTCTCTCAAAAATGAAACACTTAACCAAATGGAATTAATTCTCATCAAAACCATCGATCAAAAAGTTAACATAGCAAAAACAAATGGCATCATGCATCATGCATCATACATCATATGATTAAGTTTACTTTTATAAACATCGATGCTAGAACTAAAGTAGCATGTAATCTCAATGATTTTCATCTCAAAAAAATAAATAAGATTAACCTACATAAAGATGAATCAATCTCTAAAAACATCCATTAAAACTCAGCACATAAAAATAGTGTTTAAGCTAAAACCATAAATAAGCATATCATCTAATACTTTATGTTCAAATCCAAATAACATCATAAAAATAAATCATCCAAACTAAGTAAAGTATCTTCCTTCTCTCAAGCAAAGAAACCAAAATAAATCTTGAACCTCGATCAGTCATCGCTGCTACATGATTGCTTTACTACTGCTAGACTCCCCAACGGTGATTTTAAGCTACCATGACTACTGCCATGAAGTAAAAAAATAAAATAGGCTATGGAAAATTAGGGTTTCAAAAAGATGAATAAAGTGTTTAGAAAATATTTTATTTACATTCCATCAAAATCAAACTTTCCACCAATAAGAAAGTTTTTTTTTTGAAATTCCTTCTTTAAATTTAAATTTCAGCCTTTTCCCGCAGCAGCGATCAATTCCTAAAATTTCTCTAACTGCCTGATGACTAAGCAGTTGCTGCAGAATCGGCTCAACAATCCAGTCCAGAATCGGTGCACAACAACTACAGCATTAATAATGTCACAGCATCATTATAGCAATTTACATCAAAAACATTAAAATCAACTCAAGTACCAACAATTCTCTCCTAGTATGCAAATGATGTAAAATATGCTAAAATAAATCTAAATAGGATTCTAAACGTGCTAAAGTATAAGCTTAACTTAAGTAAAAAGGCTCTAAATAATAACTCTTTTAGAGAGTTATCAATGCCATTTTGAAGGTTATCCTTACCAAATTGTCTAGGGAAGATGCCTCTCAGCAACTACCATTGGAGACTTCATCTACACTTGCTGCTACTCATTTTGCTTCAGCAGAGTCCTCTAGTATGTGTGGTAATTTCGAGAGAATGGTGCTCTAGTCTTTGGAGCATATTAAAAAGTGAATATCTTTGTTGGATGTATACCAACTTCAGATTGTCAAGGAAATGGTTGATGAATGCAAAAGACAAAAGATTTTCTAAGGCTATGTCTAAAACCACAATGTTGTCTTAAGGAAATCTCTGCAACAGAATTTTACCAAGCCAATACCTAAATTTTCTGAGTTTCTAGAGGCATTGATGGTGTAAGAAACGTATGTTGCAATGGATTTCTCTCATAAATTTTAGGAATTCTATTTTTAGTGTAAAATTTTATTGTTTTCTTTATTATGTGAAAACTATGAAATTTATCATATCTTTTGGTTATGAAAGGTATCTGAGAACTGAAAATTTTCGCTCTGTTGTTGGATTGATATTGCCATAGAAAAATGGGTACATTGTGACAAAGCAGGTTTGCCGTAGCATTGTTGAGTTCATGCATTGGATTGCGTTACTTGAGGGAAAACAATAATTTAGGTATGGGGTGTGAACTCTTAAAAAAGAGTTATAATATATGTCTTTTTACTTAGTTAATTTATTGTGCTTGAGTACATATCAATTGCCTTTTTAGTAAAATATTAGCATTTGTAGATAGTTGAGCATTGCCTTTGAGGTCTTGGTTTATGCTTAAATTGCATTACATGTTGCTTTTAATTGCTTGTGGAAGGATCTTTGTGAGTATTCGAAGGATAAACTAGGAAGAGAACAAATCATGTGGAGTTTGTCGCAACAAACTGGAATGGATAGACTTGAATCGATCAAACAATGTTTAAATTATTTTGAATTATCTAGAGGATAATTATCAGATAAAAATCAGAATTCAAATAAACAAATATCATTTGATAATTATCGAATATTTTGAATTCAAAATGATGAGGTAAACTCGAACTCGAAGAGATAAGATAAGAGAGGAGAAGTGGTGGCTTCGATCAGAAGCAAACCATCCAACTGGAAATCAAAGTACAAACAAGGCTGAAGAAGAAAGCTTCAACAGAAGACCTCCATTGAAGCAAGGAGCTCGAGATAATCACTGAATCGAATCGGAAATCCATATTTCATAATTATTTCACCTTTATCTTTTGTTATCTTCTTCATTGATCGTGAATGATGTTTAAAAGTTTGATTATGTTTTTACTTTTCTCATCCATGAAACTGATCTTACAAAGGTTTAGGATTACATTACTTCTTGATGAATGTTTAATCTTTACTCGATTACTTCTTCTACTTAATTGATTTTCATGTTTTAAATCTCGCAAAGACGATGATAAGTGTTTAGTGAACCTTAGTTTTTGCTAATTCCAACAGGGTTAAGGGAGCTTGATCGTAATTTGATAGTGTAACTGAGAACTTGACAAATACTCTGTGCACCCTCTAGACATAGAGGCATTATCGTACACACATCATTAGGTTGGATCTTGTTAGTGTTTTTGAACAAATAGCCTATAAACATATAAAGACTTCAAGGGAGAGTGACTGTATGACTAGCTATCGATAGAGGCATTCCACATTAGAACCTTAGATGGAGTAGATTAATCGTAACTTTGTCACAACATACTTCAGTTATTGAAGAAAAACTCTTGTAATCTCATCCACCTTGATTATTATTCAATATTCACATGTACTCTTCGATTGCCAGTTATTTCTTAATTTATACTTTTTAGTTTATCTTAATTTTCACACATTTCAATACTCAACAAATAAATAACTTTTATCATTTTGCAATGGCTAAAGAATTCGTACATTCCAATCTTTGTGGGTTCAAGATTTGACACATTGTGTCTACTTTACTATATTGTTTGACATGCATATTTGCACAGATTACCATAGCATTATTTTGCACACAACCACAATGTAACTAATGAATGACTTAACGACGACGAAAATAAGATAAAATATATTAGAAAGATAATGTGTGAGAGAGTGAGGTGGAGATCTAATATAACTAGGATGTGAGAAAAATAGGATTTGATACTCATTTTAAGTTAGTTTAAAGTTTGGGAAATGTTTTAAACGAATTCGGGGTGTTTTAAGTTTTGGAAGTGTCATAATAAAGATGGCAAGAGCCTCACCATGAATTCCTAAGTCATGAGTTCATACCTTGGTACGAGGGGTTGGAGTTCAGTTCTTTCTTTGTCCTGGAAATTTGATATGTTTGTTGTAGATGACGTTGTTCCTTCTTGTTGAGGAAATCAAGTCAATCTGATCATTTGTCGCTGAGGAAGACACTGCTCATACGTGATGAAGAGTTCTGGTCGTTTTTAGGTAAATTGGAGATAACATGGTTCATATGCGATGACGAAGTCTAGCTATCTAAGGAAAACACGGCTCCTACGTGATGAAGAGATCTGGACGGTGGATGGCACGGTTCCTATGTGATGAGGACGACTTACCATCTTTAGGGATAATGTAGAAAACTCGGTTCCTACGTGATTAGGATGGCTGGTTATCTAAGGGTGACGCGGCTCCTACGTGATGAGAGATCTGGTCGGTGGATGACACAGTTCCTACGTGATGAGGATGGTTGTCCATCTTTAGGGATGATGTAGATAACACAGTTCCTACGTGATGAGGATGGCTGGTTATCTAAGGTTGACGCGGCTCCTACGTGATGAGGAGATCAGGTCGGTGGATGACACGGTTCCTACATGATGAGGACGGCTGGCCATCTTTAAGGATAATTTATTTCAAGAGAAACTGTCTCAAGAGAGACAAAATTTGTTTCGAGGGAAACAATCTCAAAGGTTTTTGTTTCAAGGGAAACTATCTCAAGAGAGACAAAACTTGTTTCAAGGGAAACAATCTCAATTGTTTAAGTTTCAAGTGAAATTGTCTTAAGGGAGGCAAAACTTGTTTCAAGGGAAACAATCTTAATTTTTTGTCACAAGAGAAAATGTCTCAAGGGAGACAAAACTTGTTTCAAGGGAAACAATCTCAATGTTTTTGTTTCAAGAGAAACTGTCTCAAGGGAGACAAACTTGTTTCAATGGAAACAATCTCTATGTTTTTGTTTCGAGAGAAACTGTCTCAAAGGAGACAAAACTTGTTTCAAGGGAAACAATCTCAATGTTTTTATGTTTCAAGTGACACAATTTCCAAATTTTGTGTTTTGAGGAAAAACTATCTCCAGAGAGATGAATTTGTTATGAGAACAATCTCAAGAAAGATTAATTTTGTTTCAAGTGAAACAACTTTTGGAATTTGTGTTCTAAGGGAAACTGTCTCAAGTGAGACGAAATTTTCTTTGAGTAAAACAATATCAAATGTTCGTGTCTTAAGGAAGATTGTCTCAAGTAAGACAAAGTTTGTTTTTAAGAGAAAAATCTCAAGTGAGATCAATATTGTTTCAAAATTTTCAAAATTTGCAGAAAACCGTCTCAAGTGAGACAAAATTTTGTTTTGAGAAAAACAATCTTAAAGGCTTATAGACTGTCTACTTGTTCCTGCAGATTAGGAAAATGCCTTTAGAAGATCTAATCCTTCACTTCAAGATGTCGAATTTGTGGATGACATTGTTCCTTCGTGTTGAAGATGTCTAGTCATCATCCAACTTTGATTTCCTGAAAGATCCATAAAAAATGATGCATTTATGAATGATTATATTTTTATGGGTGTTAAGATGAAGTATGTGTTTGATTTGATGAATTTTTTTTTTTTTGAATTTGTCCTCGTGAGAGAGGGAAAATGTCTTTAATAAAGGCAAGATTTCAAGTGAAATTTTAAAAGTATCCTCATAAGAGGGAAAATAAAAGTCTTTATTCAACATGTAGATGAATGTATGATGCAAAGATGTAAATTGATGTGACATGTATGTATATGTTGATGTATGTTTTCTCGATCTGTAAGGGGAATGGTTGCGTGAGCAGTCTTCACTCTATCCCTGATTTAGTTGTCTTTATTTTAAGCCTTCACCAAAAATTGTAATACCCTAATTTTATCCGAACATTTTAAATCCATTTGAAGATAACCGAAAATTAAGTTGGAGATGTTCGTGCTCGATGAAGAATTAATTCAGGAAGTTCGCGTTTGAAAGCTTAAGGTGCTTAATTGGGCTAAAACTGTATGTGCTTATTTTGGAAACCGAGACACAAATTAAAATTCAATCCCAAATCCAAATTAAGTGTCTAAAGTCCATTTACAAGCCCAAAATAGATTATAAATAATAGATTATAAATATTTGTAGCCCAATTACAACCCGAATTAATTACAAGCACAGACTCGAGCCCACAAAACAGAGCAGGCCCAAAGTTTGACCCGGATACAACCCGGACCCGGTTGTAGTATCCATGCCTCCCACGTGAATTACATAACCAAATTGCCCACGTGAAGCCTGCTCTCCACGTGTCCTGTTCACGAACCGACAGCATCCAGCAGATCCATGCCTCTCGAGCACCCCACGGGAAGTCCCTCGAGGCTGTCACCCACGCTCGACAACACCATCGACAACACCATTGGCGCCCATACCCTGTAACACATCGACAACACCATTGGCGCCCATACCCTGTAACACATCGACAACACCATTGGCGCCCATACCCTGTAACACAACAAACAAGGAGGCCATTGGGGAGAGTGTTTCATCAAGAACAAAAGATGGTATTCATCACATCAGGGGGACGGAATGAAGACATGAAAAAAGGGGGGAAAATAACCAGGAAAAAGAGCAACCAACACAGGAAGGACTCTCGGTTTTTTTCAACAGTAAAGGGAGGTTCATCAAGATTGGTGGGAACAAGAGAAGATGAAACGGAAAAACTAAAAATAAATAACCATTGTAACAGGAATTTCATTGAGGATAGTATTGATAAATCAAGGAAGCAATCGAAAGCAAGGAACTATTTTGTTTGGTACTTTCTATTCTTATTTCAATTTCCAGTTTTTTTGTGGGTTTTCTTATTTCTAAGTTAAGTAAAAGATTTGATAGAAGAAAGAGTTAGTTTGTTACCTTTCTGATCCTGTCTTCGCCGAGTGAAATGGAGCCAAGGGTGGAGGTGAGCCTCGCCTGAGTTTAGGAGCGGTAGACTGGAGTCGTTGAGTTCTAGAGGCTTAGATCGGAGCAAATAAAAATCTAGCAAGGCATCAAGCATTTAGATGCGTTTGGGTTAGGATTAGGGGCTTACCTTGTTATTAGTCTATCGTCGAAGCAGGGAGCGTCGATCTTCAGTCGTGAGTAGTAGTTGTTCCGGCTCCTTAGCGGTGGTCGGTGAGCAGAGGGAGGCTTTGGGTTTAGGCTCTCGTCGGTGGCTATCGGAGAAGGAGGTCGAGAGTGAGTAGAAGGGAAAGATGCAGCGCCGTGCGTGGAAGAGAGGAGATGGAGAGGTAGAGCGGCTGTGTGTTTAGGTTTAAGTTTAGTCTAGGTTTAGATTAAAATTAGGATTTATATTATAGATTTAGGGTAAACTAAATTTAAGCCACCGTGACCTTAGGGTTGTTAGCATATTAGGTCCAATAGTTTTTAACTCTGTATTTTGGTCCTTAAATTGAGATATTCGAAAGTGTGATTGAACCATTGAGGTTTCGCGTGATTTATCTTAGTCTCTATTTTTTTAGTCAAGTTAATCTTTTTGTATTTTTAACATTTGGTTTGTTAGTTTGGAAAATTTTCTATTGCAATCCAATGCATGTTTAGGGATTTTGCTTAATTTCCATATTAGTAATTATGTTAATTTATTTTAGTCCATAGATTTAGATTGTAAATACTTTCGTCATAATTTAGAGCTTTTTAGAGTAATTCTTTAAGTTTAAAATTAGTTAAACCTAGTCCGTTGTTAGGTTGGTTTTCTTAAATTAATTGTTTATATTTATTTCGCATGGTGATGTGTTTACATATGAATGAGTATGCAAATAATTCAATAGAAAATCACATGACATCATTTTTATATGAAATGCATGTTAGCCTCATGTGCATAACTTAACATTTATCAGATAATTGGATTAAGGGTAATACCCTTTTATTTTAAAATTATTTTAAGTGGGTTGTCTTAACTTATTAGATATATGCTTCTAACGATTTTAAAATAAAAGTGTATCCCATCAGTGACACCTAAGAAATTGATTCATCACTTTAAAATTTGGAAACGGAAGAAAAAGAAATGTTTGGCTATTTAAATTTATTGAGAAAATGTTATTATAACTATTTAAGATCTGGTCTCAACATTTTTAAATAATCGAACATTCTTTATCTTTCTAAAGGTTGGATAAATTTTAACTTAATCAATCTTGTTGCTTTTGAATATGGTGAAATTCGTGTGTTGTTATTTGTTGGGGATCATAAATCAAATTAAAATTGAATTTGTAAATTTCATTGTAAAGACATTAATTAATTGACGAGGTACCGATTTATGGCGCTGTGGGGGTGCTAATCTTTCCCCACGAGTAACCGACTCCCGAGCTCAAATTTTGGTAACGCAGACATCTATTTGTCGTTTTAATTAAAATTAATTTTTATTTAAAATGGCAAAATATTTTTGGGTGCCCAATCACACCCTAATCAAAGATTGGTGGCAACTCTTCGAACCTGTGTTTTTATCGTGAATGAATTCCCAAATTTTTGAAATGAAAGGTTTTCTAAAATCACATTGTTTTTAATTAAAAATTCAATCGTAAAGAGAATAATTAAAAATGACGTGGTTTTCATATCTCGCACCCGTAAGAAAAAAATCGTTTCGACAGCTTGGCGACTCCACTGGGGACTTTTTTATAGAGAGTCAGGCCTATAGTCGATTAATTGATTGTTTTTGCAACTGAAAGTTATAAATTCGTTTTAATTTGGTTTTTGATCCCCTATTTGGTTTTAATGTTATTTGTTCAGAATTTGATTAACCAATAAATAGTTGTACTGATCTGTTTGCTAATGGTTTCAGATTAATTACGTGTTTAAAGAGGATTGATCTTTTGAGTGTTTTGTGTTATTTTATTTTCGCTTTTCCTCACACACGACACAGTTACATTTGCATAACATGAGCTAAAACCCCGTTCTGTCCTATTTAAGTAGGAGTGAGAGACTACTCCCTCGTGTGGTTTTTACCTCTGCATGGGATAGTGGATCACTGCTGGAGCTCACGCCTTATGGTCCTTGTGATGGTATTCACCTCCGCATGGACATAAGGAGGTGTATTCCCTTGAAATTGAACTCGATCCCTAAAGCCTATAATGGGCCAAGATTGAGGGTTCGACAGCCCAAGAGGGCACCGGCAAGGATAATTCGAGAACCTAATACTTTAGAACTGAACCCAACATATAGTGAACATAGAGCCCAAACTTAGGTCGAGCCTAACTCGAACCTTAAGAGTCCCGTGAGGAGGGTACACAAGGAAAAGTTTTTGAATCATTTATTTTTATTTTTGAATAAATGTATGTGAACTAGAAATCATGTGGCTAGGTTTATTTTCTCGAACAAGCATGCGAATTAGATATCATGCGGTTAGGATTTTTTTTTGAATAACAAAGCATGGGGGTAGATATCATGTTGGGTAGAATCTACTAAGCATGATTGGGTAGTCAGCATGTGATGATAGGTTTTATTTGATGTTTACGATACTTACTATTTTGTTGTTTATCTTATGAGTACTAACCCATTTTTTATTTTATGTCTATTTTATTTTGGATTTATTGCATGTGCATCTTCATGTCATTCAAAGGTGTTAATTCGCAAGTGATTGACTAATAAGAAGGTTGGTCATAATGAGCCAAGAAATTCTTAACCATGTACTCAAAATCGGGAGATCCAGAGGCATTCAAATGATTCATGAAGAAGGACATCCGATGAATCAAGAAATTTGAACCTGGTTGAAGAACGATTCATTAAGAAGGACATCCGATGATGAAGAAATCTGAAACTGATTGAAGATCGATCCATGAACAAGGACATCCGATTAATGAAGTTTGAAGTTGATCGAAGACTTCTTTCAAAGGGGCGAAGGTCGAAGATGGTACAGGAGATAGATGCAGTAATACCAAGGACGAGAAGACTCTTCACAAAGACATGAAGACCACTTTGTATTGAGAGTGAAGATGGAGATCCCAAGATTCAATTTAAGGACGTCCGACATCATCAAAGAAGATAAAATATGCTGACAATTTTGAAGGTGCAATGTCAGATTCCATGAAGAGTATAACTCAAGGAAATGAAGAGATGAAGAATCACAATTGTATTTTGATTACATGGTGTAATGAAATCTTGTTGTCTAAATGAAGGTTGTTTTATGGTGGTCACTTTCAGAATTAACACCTTTTGCATTTGCATTTGCATTTGCATTGCATGTATTTATTTAAGCATTTTATATGCATTAATTATGAAAACACGAAAATAACTTATGGAAGATTATATGACAGTAATAACAAAATCATTCATTCATATTGTTCCTCATCATCATGAACAAACAAATGGAAGCAATGGAGCAATATAATGAGGAATCACAATATCAGTTGCAAGAATAGTTGGTCGGGTTACAACTAGATACGATGAATCAAGCATCGGGTTCTCTGCAAGACTCATCGAATCAAGTGATCCAGGTGCTGGCACCGCAGGCCGTTGATAGAGAGAAAATGAATGATAAAGGAAATCAATGTCATCATACGAATGCATCAAGAGTGATAATTTTCCCCGGAGCATCTAACTCAAACCAAGGGAAGAGCCTCGTCAATTATGAGCAATTTGAAAACGAATTCAAGTGGTTGAATGAAGCCGTTAAAAATATGAAGGTTTTTAATGCCACTCACAAAGAGTTAGAAGCCAGAGAACTCAGTTTGGTCCCTGATTTGGTCATCCCACATGAATTTAGGGTGTCTAATTTTAAGAAATATGATGGAACCAGTTGCCCCCTAATTCATCTGAAAATGTTTTACAGAAAGATGAAAGGGTACTTAGATGATGATAATCTGTTAATTCATTACTTCCATGATAGTCTTGCTGGGCCAGCTGTAGTATGGTACAATTGTTTGAACAAAGAGCAGATCAAGACATGGATCAACCTAGCTGATGCTTTTATGGGGTAATATCGATATATTAAAGACTTAGCCCCAAAACGTCATGACCTCCAAAGGATAAGGATGAAAGCTACTGAGAGCTTTAAAGAATATGCCATGAGATGGAGAGGAGTGGCAGCACAAGTTCAGCCTCCTTTGCTAGAAGAAGAAATATCATACATGTTCCGTATTTCTCTTCCGACCCCTTTCTTTGAGAAGATGCTGGAAAATTCAACAAAGGAGTTCGAAGACCTTGTGACAGATGGGGAATTACTTGAAAATGCAATCATCAAAAGAAACTTGAAAGATATGCTCAAGAGCCCAACCGATCAAAAGGCAAAAATTGATGTTAGGTTCAAAGCTCCTACAACCGCAAAAAGAAAGGGACAGTAGGTTACTCGAGCCGTCTAAAGAAAGTCCCAAAATCAAAAAATACTTTGAAAGTGTTCCAAACCTCCATCTCGAATTTATATCCCCGTTTGGTTAAAGATCAATACCTCACACTAAGGCCAGTGAAAGTGCAACCAGACTCTTCTGCTCACAGCTATGATCAAGATAGTGTTTGTGATTTTCACTTAGGGGCATTGAGGCATGCTATGAGGAATTGTAGGAAGTTGTTCAAAGAGATAGAGCTTGTTGAAAATGGGACGTTGATACAAGAGTTGGTGGAACAATGGATGACGAGTTAGAGTGGGGCATCAGAGCACAACGTATAACACTCAATCGAGTCAAACACCACTGCATCAGAAGAATAATGGGGGTATCCTAATTATGCAAAACACATTTTGTCATTTGCAGCATCTTGTTTGAACATGTTTTTGTCGCTTTTCTCAACTTTTTTGAAAAGATTTTTAAATGAACTTACGTCATTTTCCAAAGGTCATGAGCAATGAATCAAGTTTTAATCTTGTAATTCTTTGAATATATAATGAGTTAAAGGTTGTTTTGTTTACTTCATTAATTATATGCTTTTGACAATAGGCAAGATTAGACCTTCCATGTCCCATCCAAAGCCGAAAGAACTGTTGTTGGGTTCCTTACCCGAAATAACACTGAGACTAAACATTGACATCACTTCCCCAGCCTTAATAAATCCTACAGGCATGACGAGGACCTTTCCTTCAAGAAAGACAAGATGGAGTGTTACAGATCAAAGATATACTAGGACCACGTAGAAGAAGAAGAAATGAAGGGAATCATTGAAATAATTCTATCATGCATTAATTATATTATTTTTGTGTAAATAAAGTTAATCCTGAATACTCGTCCCCCTGGGGATACCTCTTTGTTTCATTTATCCCTTCAAATATATGTAAATATATACCCCTTGTTGTCCCCTTTTGGGCCTATAGTATTTTTCTTCTGATTCAACCCAAACCAAGGATC